GAGGAAACCACTTTATTTGGATGTTTGGTTGAACAAATTGCCTTACAGAACTGTTCGCTAATACCAACGCCGATATATATTTTAAAATTAGTGTCAAAAGTAAATTAAATTAAACTATGTGCATCAGGGGTCGCAAATAAATATACCGGAAAAATAAATTGTTACACCATCCTGATGCTGTGTAAGCTGACAATAAGTCCACGCCAAGTCCTGACGGGACATGGATTCACCGATTGTTGCTGGAAGGCATTTGGAGCAAACTCATACTAACTGTGAATCCTGCAGGCTTGCAAAATCAATATATCGTGCTGGTTATCTCTTCGGAATTGCACTTTGCAAGACCACGCTAAATGATCTCCCATGTCTGCCGATTCAGGGGCTCAGTCTAAAGTCAGAAGATAATGCTCCTGTGTAGCTACTCTCAACGTGTAGCTACTCTCAACGTGTAGAGGTGTCTCATTGCCCATCTGGTCTCGTGAAACTCCTTCGGACATTGAAAGGAACATGAATGGGCAGAGATTATTGAATAGAATACTTAACTACCAGTCAGAGACATATCAGGGATTTCATATCCTGCTAATTGCATACCCACCATATCACGAAGAGGCTCCACTAACCTGAGCACTTGCTTTCTGACATAAAAGATACAGGAATTCAGGACGTTAACTTCATATTTATGCACGCACATCCATTCCACACAGTTTGAAGCGAGACTCGCCAGTCAAGACAACGTGCCTCAGCTAGCCATCAACTGTCCAATAGATGAGTCCTTATCAATATTGTTTCCTTGAATAGTTCAGCAGCTGACATTAACTGATGAAGTGATATAAGTGACATTGAAATAAGTGACAATTTGAGGAAGGGATGAATGTTCGCCACACTTAATGAGTCTCATGAATTGTCGATGGTCTTCTTCTGTCACAATCGATCCAACTACAAAGATGATCCAGATTTCCTGTTTTACCGAATTCTTAGCATTCATTTATCACTTATAAAATGGTCTTCTTAGATAACTTTAAAATACTTATAGATTTTTAACAAAAAAAGGCATTTAATAATAAATCTAGAAGATGTCTATGAATTAATTTTTTTAATATTTCCGGTCACATATTTTTTGTTTTGTGTAGTCCAAGAGAAGTGTCCGGTCTCATACTGTAATGTTTGTTACCTAAGATAATCATTTTTAAAATTACTTCGTAAATGATACTACCATCTTTTTAATATTGCTTTCATGATTAAATATGTTGGAATAATCATTTTAAAAAACAATCTAGTGATACTTTTGAAGAATTTTGGATTTTCGGAACGTTGTGAATTCTTTTTATGTCATCCAGACGGTTACCAACATTTTAAATATAATAAGTAAGGCTTAATTAACTGCTTATCACAATGCAAATAAAGGTCTATGTACCATAGTTGAGCCATGATGGCTTAATACTTGATGATAGCAATTGAAACATGCGGAAGAGTGAATGCTCATCACCAACAATGATCAATTTTGATGTAATTTTTAAAGCGATTTTATTTCTAAAAATACCTAAAATCGGAAAATCACCTTTTGTCACTAATTCCGTTGCAATACCAACTTTGCAATTATTTGTTGAAATGTAAAGTGCCTAATTGAGATTTTAAGGTTGACGCAGGTAAGATATTCTTTCAGTATCTTGCTCTTTTAGGATTTTGGAGATAACAGTAAAAAGAATCAATTTCTGTGAATGTTTTATTTAAAAAAAAATTGTAAGTTTGTTTGGTATTTATGCTATTGTTTTCTATTCATGCATATTTTATAATTTTTTTTTATTCTATGGCTCGTGAAAGGCACTGATCTCCAGATTTCTATTTATGGAAATAAGGATAATGAGACACTAAAAACTGATTACTTAAGTTGGGTTCTGAATTTCAAAATCTAAGACTCGCATCTGATCTATCATTTGTAAAAATTAAACGAGCATACAAAATTTGAAAGTGAGACTTAAAATAATAAATAGAGAAAAAATATATCATATATGTTCATTCATTCTTTTGTTCCTTCAAATATTTCCTTAAAATTTTCATTAAATGTTCGTTATTAGAGATGATTACTTAAATTGGGTTCTGGGACCCAAAATATTATTCTCGCTTCTAATATATCATTGATAAAATTTAAAAATTTTTTAAAATTTTAAAAATGCTGCTTAAAATAAGGAATAGAAATTTTTCTTGAATGCTTTATTCTTAGGAAACAAATTCATTAAAAAATCATACATCCGATTTCAAGAAAACCAAAGCTTAATGATTTACTATTAGCTAATGATATTTTAAATAAAAGGCAACAATTATTAGTAATATGAATAGTTTAATTTAGTAGTTCTATTAAGAAAATATTTACATTACTTGAACAAAATGTTTTCAGCTTCTTAAAATTTTTCAAATTCTAAAAATATAAAAAAATCCTGTTACAGAGTGTCCAAACTATTAAGAAATAAATCAATAAATTATTTAATATTATGCATAAAGCCTTTTTTAAAAAAATCTCATTGGGTTTTTAAAGTTTTTTTCTTCAGTTTTCCAGTATATAAATATTATTTGCAGTTGTTTGTATTTCATTATGTAATCAAATCTTTCGTGAAGTATATTGATTTTTTATCAATAACCTCATTTTTTAAGTAAAATGTAAATAAAATACATCTAAATATATGCTTACCGAGAATTAGTTTTGATTTCATGTATTCCTGCATTTTCGAGTCGATCTTTCAAGAGTTGTTATATTCTAAAATGAACAAATTATTTTCAATCACGATAAATATCAATACTTAAAAATAAATTCAAATATGAAAAAAAGTCTAATTTCATGATAAAGATAAGACACAATACTTACACGCTTCCATATATTTGAAAAACAGATTTTAAATTTTTATCTTTATTCTTATGAAATACATTTATTGTAACAATCTGTCTGATTAAGAAAGCCATCAACTTGAAAACACCAGAAAACTGTAAATGAGAATGAGATATGAGGAAGGTGAACAAAAACAAATCTATTCTTAGATAGAAACTTCTATTGATCCCTAATGAGAGAAATATTTTATGTATCTCGACATTATTTCTTGCAACGTGATTTATTTGCTATCTTTGAATTCAATTGACGCAATCAAAATCTGCACTTCAAATTATTTAAAAAAAAAAGGATTGACATAGTTATCTACTGCGGAAATACATGAATTTTTTTCCTATTTTGCTTTTATGTAAGATGATTATTACTTATTTTTAACAAATTATGAGAAGTACCATTTTAAAAGTTTAAAATACATACTTTAAGGAACAGGAGTTAATAATTGAGAGTCCTTGAATATTATAATTTTTGAATTACTTATTCGTAACTATTAAAATATGAGTGGTAACCACAATCTAGAAAATAGGATCTTGATCAGTTGTCGGAAAAAAACTACAGTATTTTTGTAGTTTGCTAACAACTGCTATTATATTATTACAAATGCACCCCAGTAGTACATTAGGTAACATCAGAAAACCAGAAAGTTTAAAGTTATGTTGAATAACTTTAGAATATTAGAAAGACATAAACATTTTATATCTTTCTATATCTCTTATATGTTTCTATTTATTAAATTTTATTAATTTTTGTAGTTTGCTACATTATTACAAATGTTTCCAAGTATGTCTTTATGTATATGTTTTTCCTTTTTACATTGCTAGTGTTGTACTATTTAAAAATTTGGCCTCTTATTTTATAAATCATTTGATGAAATAGGCTGTTGTTTTTTCATAATTGCTCTTTATATTTTTGCCACATATGATTTACGTAAGTTGTAATTATAGTTTCATAATTTCTATCAAAAACCACCGAAATTTCGTTTAGGATTTAAAAGTAGACTAATTAATAAAGTAAATGAAAACCAAGGGGGAAGAACAGTTCATGTCCATTTTTCACAAAAATGACAATTGGATGAGCACCTCTCTTGTCTTAAGGATTACTGAGTGTTGACAAATCAATGAAGGGAAAAATTGGTATTAGTTTTGAGTTATTACACAGGAAAGAATAACGTATTGTGGAAAAACTTTTATTTTTCGCCTGCAAAATCCTTTTTTCTCTGAATTAACTCTTACGGGCATAAACCATTTTTCTACTGATGTCTTCAAGTATTAAAAAAAGTATAAAGCTACTGAAATGAAAGTTTCCAAAGTTCCGAGAAATACATCGTATGTTTAAAATAAACAAATAAGAAATTAAAAGGAGGATGAAAGAAAGGGTAAAAATGATTTTCAGCAAAATACAATTTAAAGTGAAAATATTATTACCACACATTAATTTATAAAAATTCTAGACATGTACAGACAGGTGACAAATTACTACGAACACTTTTGTATTAACTTTGTAAAAATAATCTTTCTTTTAGCAGCAACCGTTTTTGAAAACTATTGGTATACCTTAAAAAATAATGCTTGAAGCTTTTAGAAATGGTGTCGTTTTTACCCATGCTAAATTCGGATAGACCAAAATGAGGAGATGGAAGTTAATAATTTCTTTCCAGCTTTAATGCTAGAAATTTTCAAACTATTTCTTGGGGATGGAATATTTACAAAAGAATGCTTTTACAACTATCGTGTTAAAAAAAGGAAAGGAGTTTTAAATTTCCTATGCTCATTTTGGTCTCAAAAGTTGAATCAAGATCTTTTAAAATTGTGCTAACAGTTTCCGCAAACGTAAAATTCCTTAATTGGAAAAAAGATCAAAATTTCCCTTGCAATCATTGTCTGAATTTTTGGATAATACTTCCAATTGTTCGGGGAACTATGAGAGATACAGACAGTTACACAAACTTTCGTTTATTAGTACAGCATAGATAACGAATTTTACAGGAATTTTTTTTTGTCACAAACATTTATTATATTAGGATTTACTTATATAAAGAATAATAATTTTGGTTCTTTTTACATAACTGTAAACCAAAAAATCCTTTATTACGTAACGAAAACTTTTTTGAAAAAGCTTGTTTTTCATTTTATGGTGTTACGCAAGTTCTCATTTTTTCAGAATACGTTAAGTTCTGACCACACTTCTTAACAAACGGCTTCCAATTCTTACAGAAAATGAAGAGCTTATTGCTACTTGGATGGCGATAGGCTCCAATTGCTTCTGGGCATTCAAACCATTTAGAAATATCACCAGTTTCTTTAATGATGCAATCCAAATCATCCTCATCACAATCTGTTTTAGGAGGCCCAGTTGGTTTTGGAGTTGGAGTGGATGGCTGTGGAGTGGTAGGTGGGGTGGTGGTTGGATGTGGAGTGGTAGGTGAAGTGGTTGTTGGCTGTGGAGTTGTAGGTGGAGTGGTTGTTGGCTGTGGAGTGGTAGGTGTAGTGGTTGTTGGCTGTGGAGTTGTAGATGGAGTGGTTGTTGGCTGTGGAGTTTTAGGTGGAGTGGTTGTTGGCTGTAGAGTTGTAGGTGGAGTGGTTGTTGGCTGTGGAGTGGTAGGTGGAGTAATTGTTGGCTGTGGAGTTGTAGGTGAAGTGGATGTTGGCTGTAGAGTGGTTGTTGGCTGTGGAGTGGTAGGTGGAGTGGTTGTTGACTGTGGAGNATAATACTTCCAATTGTTCGGGGAACTATGAGAGATACAGACAGTTACACAAACTTTCGTTTATTAGTACAGCATAGATAACGAATTTTACAGGAATTTTTTTTTGTCACAAACATTTATTATATTATGATTTACTTATACAAAGAATAATAATTTTGGTTCTTTTTACATAACTGTAAACCAAAAAATCCTTTATTACGTAACGAAAACTTTTTTTAAAAAGTTTGTTTTTCATTTTATGGTGTTACGCAATAACGTTAAATAAAATTAAGTAAAATTAAATTAAAACAAAATAAAATAAAATTTTTCTTTTTCTTCATCTTAAGGCCTAACGCAAGTTCTCATTTGTTCAGAATACACTGATTTTTGACCACACTTCTTAACAAACGGCTTCCAATTCTTACAGAAAATGAAGAGCTTATTGCTACTTGGATGGCGATAGGCTCCAATTGCTTCTGGGCATTCAAACCATTTAGAAATATCACCAGTTTCTTTAATGATGCAATCCAAATCATCCTCATCACAATCTGTTTTAGGAGGCTCAGTAGGTTTTGGAGTTGGAGTGGATGGCTGTGGAGTGGTAGGTGGGGTGGTTGTTGGATGTGGAGTGGTAGGTGAAGTGGTTGTTGGCTGTGGAGTTGTAGGTGGAGTGGTTGTTGGCTGTAGAGTGGTAGGTGAAGCGGTTGTTGGCTGTGGAGTGGTAGATGGAGTGGTTGTTGGCTGTGGAGTTGTAGGTGGAGTGGTTGTTGGCCGTGGAGTTGTAGGTGGAGTGGTTGTTGGCTGTAGAGTTGTAGGTGGAGTGGTTGTTAGCTGTGGAGTGGTAGGTGGAGTAATTGTTGGCTGTGGAGTTGTAGGTGAAGTGGATGTTGGTTGAAGAGTGGTTGTTGACTGTGGAGTGGTAGGTGGAGTGGTTGTTGACTGTGGAGTGGTAGATGGAGTGATTGTTGGCTGTGGAGTGACAGGTGGAGTGGTTGTTGGCATTGAGGTAATTGTAGTAGGTTCTGGTCTTGTTGGTATAGGGGTTGTACCGACTGTGGCTTCACCTAAATTTACAAAAAAAAATTATTGCTTTATTTTCAATCAGAGCTATTACCAAATTTTGCTGCATTATAAAAGAAATAATCTTCACCTGCCATGGAAAAATTACCAGATAATATGGAATTTTATGACCTACTTTACTTTCTATGATCTGTAAACATTCATTATATTTTTTATCGACGCTGCTTTAATTTCTTTTACATTAGATAAGACCAACCATGCTTAGATAAAGACAAACTAGGAAGATAAAAAAAATTCGTGAGTGCTAGATAAAATGTCTTTTTTTTAATTTGTGTTATTTCTTTTTTTATTTTCATGTAGTGAAACTTCGTAGTGTTCAATTAAAAAAAAACATGCATAGGCTTATAGGCATTAAGGTATTAGTTCATTTGAAAGTTGCATGCTTACCCTTTAACAAAAATTGAATGAAGTTGGTATTTTTATTTATGGACAATTCATAATTTAGTATAAAGTACTTTCGTTTTAAATTGCAACGTTCCACATATCTAGGAAGCAACGATGACTCAGTGCTTAAAACACTGGTCTATCAACGCGAAGAACTGCGATTCTATCCCTGCAGGCAACTTGAAGCTCACCCATATTCAGATCCTTACGATCTGAATATGGAAGTAAATCTGATCACACGACCTCGATGCAAAATTCTGATGCCTTAATCTCGATAACACCTCTTGTCAGGGAATGCCTTTTACTTATCTAATAGGTAGCTTTTAAGTTTTATAGTTTATACACTGGTGTGCAAAACTTAAGCAACAAGTGGTTTTTCGGCGACAGCTCCCCAACAAAGTATAAGCTAGCCATGAAATTGCAGTATAATATGCACGTAATTCAGTAGAAAGATTATTTGTATGCAAATTTTAGAAATAAAACGTCGTAGGTGATGTAAGTGTATGTAAACCTTGTGGGTCGGCGCCTCGCAGGTCAAAGCTGCGATAAAACGATGAAGAGCACCGTAGTTAAAGACATTCTCTGCAAGTGCAAGTGATTTGTTTCGTGAAACATATCTTCAAGAAATCATTTAGACGACTTTACTCGAGGAAGAATGATTGGGAAGCTTGAGGAGGGGCGTAGTGTGACCAGTGTCGCCGAAGAGTTCGGAATCAACAAAAGTGTTGTTTATCGTGCTTGGAATGCCTTTAAAACTGGTGGTCGTCCAAGGAAAACAACACCAAGAGATGACCGTTACATTGTCCTCCAGACGAAAAGAAACCGTTTTCAGTCAGCGAGCGCCATATCTCAGCAACTGTGCACAGCCACAGGACGACAAGTATCAAGATTTACAGTGGCCAGACGCCTCCACAAAGGTGGCTTATTTGCTAGACGTCCTGAACGCTGCATACCTTTAAAAGTTAGCCATCGGCGGCACCGTTTAGAGTGGTGCAGAGAACACGAAACCTGGACACCTCATCAATGGAGTCGCGTCCTCTTCACAGATGAGAGTCGTTTTAGTGCTACAAGCGATTCTCAACGTCAGTTGATCTGGAGAGAGGTTGGAGCTCGATTTCATCCCAATAACATCGCGGAAAGAGATCGTTACGGTGGTCCTGGAGTTGTCGTCTGGGGTGGCATTATGTTGAACGGGCGGACTGAGCTTCAGATCTTCGACCGAGGTTCTGTAACTGGAGACCGCTACTGCAATGAGGTAATCCTACCCCATGTGCGTCTGTTCCGAGGGGCCATTGGACCAGACTTCATTTTTATGGATGACAATGCCCGGCCACACCGTACTGCTAATGTTCAAGAGCTACTGGAAAGTGAAGATATCACACGAATGGATTGGCCAGCTTACTCTCCAGATCTAAATCCCATAGAGCATGTGTGGGATGCATTAGGGAGACGTCTTGCGACACGACAGTATCCTCCTGGTAACACCCATCAGCTGAAAGATGCGTTAAAGGAGGAATGGAGACGTTTACCCCAAGAACTTCTGGATAATCCAGTGCTTAGCATGGAGAGACGATGCCAAGCAACAATTACAGTAAGGGGAGGGCATATCCCATACTAGGGAACATCTGCCAGTTGTACTTACGCTTCTTCAGGCAATCATGTGTAACGCCACTATATGTCAAATAAAGCCTTTTTTTGTTCCATACCCTACTTTAAGCTTTATATTCAATTCTGCGCCATTATTCTTTTACCATCGTTTAAGTACAAAATAATGTACATCATATTCAAATTTCATGTCAATCGGATGATTTCTTGTAGAGTTATGACAACGCACTTGTTGCTTAAGTTTCGCACACCAGTGTATTAAAAATGTTGATAAGTAGCGTTAAAAGTGGAACATTTCTTTTCGTAAGGGTGGGAGAGGATGGAAGAGGATTATCTAAGATTTACCAACACAATGTATTGGCAACCAAAATGGGCTACACGTGGCGTAGAGCAGAATTCTCTACCTATGGCAACACATCACATGCTTTCACCATCAGCGTATAGGAGAAAGAAGTACGTTAGTTTGTGCCTCGATTTTCAAATAGATTTAAAACTTTTAAATTAGGAAACTATATGGAGTAGAAAACTAAATTGAACATAGTTCTAGAAGAAAAGTTGTAGAAATTTTAAAAGATGTATTTAACAATATACATCTATATACAGGAATATTAAGAATGGGGAAAATATCATAGCATATTTTTACACTCCTGAGAAAAGGAAGAAAGGGGTGGGTCAAGACATGGAACTGTTCTTCTCTATAGATGGCGTATTCAAGCGCTGTGATAGCCAATAGAAAAATTCAGTGACTGCTAAATTTGGTTAGGGCCATTAAAGGTCCAAATATGTACCTGACAACAGACACGAGAAATATCTTGAAATTTGGTTATGACTCTAGTGATGCCCAACAATTTAAATATATGTTTATCTGTATATGTATATCTGAATATGTATCTGAATATATATCTGAATATGTATTCAATTTAAAAAATATGCTTTTCTGATAAAAAATAAGCTATGGCATAAAATTTGAAGCAAAAATGTAAAGTTGTTCATTTTTAGAAATGATATTTGAAAATAATATATGCATACTTCATTGAATAATAAAAGCGTATTCGCTTGATCACTAAATATTTTAAATTAGCTTTCGCTATTTAGTAGGGGCAACATAACAGGGTGAATACTCAAAAGATCTCACAAAATGATTTACATAGGGCTTTTCAAAGTCTAGCGACCTAGAATTAAAGTAAATCTTGTAAATATCTGTATGATCACAGAAAAAAACTCTTTCATTACTTGTCGGTCTTTTCCTTGATCCACAGTTCACTTTCTCCGGTTTTTTGCATCGTTTCGCGACTCCATCAAAGAGAAAATTCCTCCCACATGTTTTCAAATTTGGAACATAAGAAGTACATTTGTAGTACTTGGAACAGTCATTTGGATCAGGAAATAATCCCATGAATCTTGGACACATGAATGCATCTGCAGCATAGAGAAAACACACTATTTACTTTAAAAGTATATTTTTATATAAGATGTGCTGAAAATTTATGTAAAAAACTATTTGTTGCTCAAGTTTTGTTTATAAATGTGCTTTTTGTAATTTTTTCAGAAACTATATCAACAGTTTTAAACTAATTCAGTGTGCTCAAGTGCATGAAAGTGTCATGTTTGGTTTTTATTTATTTTTATTGTTGGCTTGTAATGCTGTTAATTTAACAATAATAAATTCCTTATAGAAAACAAAAACAATATTTATTGATTATATAAGTGCACTTGTAACTTATTACATTCACGCACATTTCATATCGATGTTCTGCAAATTTTTACATCACAAAATAAGACTAAACATAACCGCTTTTGAAATTCTTAATTTGCAATGTATATGCGCTTACATTCGAACTAAACAAAATTGCTGTTTGCCATTCTTAATTTACAATGTATATACCCATACGTTCGACCATCCTGGACTTTCAATTGACCTCAACTGAGCTGAACTTTAAAATACATTACAATAAAATTAACTGGACTAATAATATGAAACATTGATAAGTTTATAACAGTTTATAAAATGATTATAACTCAGTGGTCTACGTACAGTTCGTGTGGTCCTAAGACAGCCTGAGAGGGCTACACAGGACCATTCTTTGTAGTCCATTAAGATTAGACCTGGCGGAGTTCAATAAAAGAAAAAACGAAAGCAGGTAGATACGTAAGATTTGCTTTTTTCTGATCTGAATGTAAGATTTATATTTCCACCAAAACTCAAAATTAGTTACACTATTTGAGACGGATGGCGCTGCTCTCTGAAGAAAGTAATAGTTGTAAAAAGAACCATCATTTGTAGCGACAACGTGGTTTGACCGAAGAAGAAAATCAGTAGGAATCTGTGAAAGTATTTCAGTTTGGAATAGTCTAAAGTGTAGCAAAATGCATTCTTTTAGTTTACCCAGTCTGCAGTTCAATCACTTTTTTTAAAGTACTAGGGGGCAAAGCCCCCAGTTCGCTACCGCTCACCAACCCCGATGATTGCTTAGCAATAATTGTTTTTTCTTGGCAGAAAACAGTTTTTCAACTAAAGTTAAAAATATTCACATAACATCTATGTACTAAAAGGAATTCTGTTTACTTACGCTTGTTAAATAAATTACAAAGAGNAATATTACTATCTATTAGTATTATAAGCATTTAGATCTCTTCGTGAACAGAAGTGATTTTCTTAATTATCATTTTTTTAATAACATTTATATTCTTAATACATTATATTGTACAAACAAATTTGATGATTTCTCAACCATAATTTAAAATTCTCGCTAATAATAGCAGTACTGAAAAATAACTTTAAATTAAGGATACAAAACTATTTAAAGGAAAACAATACCTTTACGACTTTTGTTAATTTTATGCTGATGACAACCTAAACAATATGGAAATGAATGGGGGAAAACTGGATCCTACCACGTGATTTTCCGGTCAATAAAAATGCGCCGACAACAATGGAAAACGGTATCAGACCATTATGATTTTATGTTATATAGAGAACTGTAATGAAACTTAGAAATTTATTTCTTATTTCAAATGATGTGCTATGAAAAAAATTGAACAAAAACATTTACCATTAGGAGTTGTGGTTCCAATTACATCATTCGTCGTCTTTTTGTCATCTGGAAAAATAATTGCTTTGTTTTAGGAATGAGGTACAAAGATGACTTTGATGCAATTTTAGACAAAGAATAATAATAAAATAAATTATGCATAAAATAGCTTTTTCGACTAAAGTACATTTTGCAAAATTTGTTTCAAGATAGATGAGAGATCACAAATAAATATTTAAGCAAGGGGTAAAGACAAGAAACTTATCAAAATTCGTTGAAACAAAGCAGTATTAAAAACATCAAAACCAGTTGGCTATAGGAAGTTTGAAACTTTTATTGATATAATTTTATGAGCTGAAGACAAGATTATATCTTTTCCTTGTTTTGTTTACCGGCTTTTTATATTTTTTCTGTCTCTTTTTTAACTATATACATAAATAAACACCGAAGAGCCATTACATTATGACCACCCTCCATCTATAACAAAGGGCTGGCCCAGGAACAATGTTTTCATAGGGCACCTTAGGACTCATAATCCCTCATAGAACAATCCCTGACGTCTGTAAGCTACTTGAACATAGTTGCAGACCAGGTTCACCCATTCATAGCAACAGTTTATCCTGGCAGGGATGGTGTTTACCAACAGGATAATGCACCATGTCATAAGGGTCAAATCGTCGAGGAACATTCCAGCGACTTTCAAGTCATGTCTTGTCCCCCAAATTCACCTGACCTTAATCCAATAGAGCATTTGTGGTCCTACTTGGAAAACCAAATTCGTGCTGCCACGCTACCCACTCGCAATGTGAGGGAATTGCAGGACCAGCTGGTGAGCGCTTGGTACCAGATACCTCAGATTACCTATCAGCACCTTGTGGAATCAATGTCACGGCGGGTGCTAGCAGTTTTGAGGGCTAAAGGTGGCCCTACATGCTATTAGGAGGGTGGTCATAATGTAATGGCTCTTCGGTGTATTAATTAGTATTTCTAAAGTTATCTAAAACCACGTATTTAATTTATTTATAGTTATGCTTTTAGAACGCGTTTCTGCAAAACTAAATAACTGAAAATCAACGGTAATTGAAATTAAAAAAGAAAAAAACAAGCTATATACCAATATTCAAAATTAATAGACAAACGGTACTTATCCATTCAAGAGAACCGCACATTTTTACATTATTTTCCGCGCACAAAGAACAGCACATTATGGTTATACTATCACCCCGATACCGAAAGGAATAAATGCCTTAGAAAATTGCTTGCCAATGGTAAATTTGGACTATTATGAGTTGGCTTCAAACAAAAGTGAAAAATGATTCTGATTACAGTTAATTTTCAGTTTAAAGTGGAGATTTTCTTAAAAAGAGAAAAAAAAGTGTTTTTTAATCTAATAACGCTAAACCACCTGGGAAGGGGAACAAATAATAAAAAAATAAAAGAAATTTGAATTATTTAGTTTTGTTTATGGTCTATATGGTCTTAGGTCTTGTGCATGATTTAGTAATGTTTATTAACACAGATTCATAGATAGTTTGCTCGCCTCCCCATTGAGAAAAACGGATATTTAGCTGGTATATTCCATAAAATGAGAAATAGGAATTTGATTAGTGCAATGGAAAACTATGCATTGAATTTATTAATAACTCACCACTTCCGTCATCACACCGGGCAAAAACGAATGGAAGACATACTTTTCTGTACCTGTCAAAACGTTTATTTCCTTGACAGGATTTCCACTTGGAATTCCAATTTTTACATATGAAGTATGCTGAGCAATCTTCAACATCAGAGAAGGTACCGTAGGACGATGGACACTTGAAGTTCTTCTGTTTATCTAAAGAATTATTTAGTTTTGTTTATTATGTCAGTAGTCTTTAGTCTTGTGCATGATTTAGTAATGTTTATTAACACTGATTCATTGATTGTTTGCTTGCCTCCCCCAATAAGAAAAATGGGTTTTCAGCAAGTATATTCTATAAAATGGGAAATAAGAATTTGATTAGTGCAGTGGAAAAATATATATTGAATCTGATACTAACTCACCACTTCCGTCATCACATACGGCAATATTGAATGGAAGACACACTTTTCTGTACCTATCAAAGCGTTTCCTTCCTTGACAGGGTTTCCACTTGGAATTCCAATTTCTGCACATGAAGTATGCTGAGCAATCTTCAATATCGGAGAAGCTACCGTGGGACGATGGACATTTAAAGTTCTTCTGTTTATCCATGCCTCGGTCTCTGTTCCAATCCCAATCTCTGACCCATTCTATAATATCTAAAAAGTACAAATAAGAATCTTCTGTATCTTGGTTAGAAAACTCTGCAAACGCGGTTGATTCTGTATGTGCAGAACAATTCCGTATCTCGGTTAGAAAATTCTATAAACAGTGTAATTCTGATCAACCAAAACGTTTCCGTCTCTTGGTTAGAAAACAATAAAATTCTGTACAAGCGAAACGATTCCGTATCTTGGATAGAAAATTCTGAAAACGGGGTAATTCTGAACAAATAAAGAAAGATACACCATTTAACAAGTGTTTTTTAGAGTAATAACTGTTTGCCTACTTTTGCATTATGCTAGAAAGAAATACGGTAAATATTTTTTTAAATTTGATTTTTCATTAATATGTGCGATTAAACATTTTATTAGATTTTGTTTTTAAAACATCATTTTTTTTCCGTTGCATAAATTCGAAGTAACTGAGAAAGATTTTTTTTAACAGAAAAAAGAAACGTATTATGAAAACATATTTATTCCTATTTATGACCAAGATCACCTATAATTTTTTGAGGAAATCAGCCGTGTTAGCCGTTCATGCATAAATATAATGTATTTTTTAATTTTCTGAAAAATACAGTTTCAGAAGTATTTAATTTTCTTTGGACATTATTGAGATTTAATTAGAAATTTTCAAATACGCATGACGTTTTGATTTTGTAAAGGAAATTTTTTTTACATGGAATGTTATAAATGTTTATGTGGGAAATTTTTCTCTCGCGAGATGGTTTTAAATTTTAGGTAGGGAGCTTTCATCTTCACAGAATGTCGCAAAATTTTATTTTAGGATTTTCCTCTTCTATAGGGTGTGTAAAATTTTATATTAAATTTATCACCTTCAGGCTATTATACAACTTTATCGAGTTTTTATTACTTTTCCATATTGTGATAAAATTTTGAGTCAAAATTTGTCTCTTTTATAAGATTTTTAAAAAAAAACAACATATTCATGAATTTGTAATTTTTACAGGATGCTATAATACTTTTTGTAATTTTTTTTTGTCTCATTCATGCAGTTGTTACAAAATTTTTTCCTTTCATGGAATATTATAAAATTTAATATGAGGATTTTTCTCCTGCTTGGATTGATATAAGATTTTACAGATTGAAAGATTTTATGGATTGAAAGAAAGAAGACAGAAACATGGATTGAAAGCGTGAGCCTCTGAGAGAATGTTATCAAATTTTATATAGGAATTTTCTTTACCTTAAAATGATGTTATAAACTTTGATATAGAGTTCTTTCTTCATGTTGTTCTGCTTAATAGAAAGGAAAGTTTCTGAACACCTTATAAAGGATAATGTTGATCGGGATGCAAATCATATGAGATAAAAAAAAGTACTACAAGACAGTAAAAGAAAAAAAAAAGAAAAGAAAACACTAACAAAGTAATAATGCATGGGAATCATACGAAGTATTAGATAATGTAATAATTATTTATAAAACTAAACTTACTAAAAATTTCGTCTGAACTCTCTTCAGAGCTGCTTCTAGATTTTAGAGCTGAAGCATCCACATGCGAATCCAATAAGAAAATGGCTATAGCTAAGCACAACACTATGCCTGGAAAAAGCAAATTTTTACATACATTTTTCAGAAAAAGTTTCACTAAGCTACAAAGGACTATACTATTAAATTTTAGTTTTTTATTTAAATTTTTCAGAAAGTTGAATATATTACAAACAATATATTACAAATATATTGAATATATTGCAGACAAAGTGTTTTTGGCTAGGCAACAACAGTCCAATTAGTGAGTCTCTTATCAATAATTTTTCCTTGAATAGTTCAGCCGCTGTCACTTACTGATGTCTAGCATTGAAATAAGTGACAATTTGAGGAAGGCATGAATATCTACCACTCTTAATGGTTCTCATCAATCTTCGATGGTCTTCTTCTGTCACAATCGATCCAAATACAAAGATGATACAAATTTCTTCCTGTTTTACCGAATTCTTGATAATCATAGTTCGCTTATGAAACAGTTTTCTTAGATAACTTCAAAATTCTTATATATTTAAAAAAATGTTTAGAGTTATAAAGATGCCTTTTAAAAAAAATTCCCGGTTCACATTTATTGTTTTGTGACATACAAGAGAAGTGCCTGGTCCTTTACTGTCATGTCAGTTACCCAGAATAATCATTTTTAAAACTACCAAATAAATGACACTACCACCATTTTAATACTGCTTTCATGATTAAATATGTGAAAATAATCATTTTAAAAAACAATCTAGAGATAAAAGACTTTCGGATTTTACAAAGGTTTAGAAATTTTTTATGGTGTCCAGAAAGCTACCAACATTTTAAATATAATTAGTAAAGCTTTATTAATTGATTGTTATATACTAATTAAGTTCAGTGTATCATATATGAGTCATGATGTCTTAATAAAAAATGTTTTTTATGCGTAACGTTAAAGAGAAAAAAAATTCAATCATGTAAAGTTTTAGCGAATTTTTTTAGTTTAAAATTGACTTATAAGATCACCTCCTTGCAAAATTTGAAAGAAGAACCCAGAAAATAAGACAGTACATTAAAAATTGATTATTTAAGTTGGGTTCTGAAACTCAAAATCTAAGTCTCGCATCTGATATATCATTCATAAAAATTAAACGATTATACAAAATTTAAAAATGATACTTAAAATAACAAGAAGAAAAAAAATTTAAAATGTTCACTTTCTTTTGTTCGTACTTAAAGATAATTATTTAAATTGGGTTTTGAAACCCAAAATCTAATTCTCGTATCGAATATATCATTGAAAAAAATTAAATAATTATTCAAAATTTAAAGATTATGCTCAAAATAATGAATAGAATTTTTTTTAAATGGTTATCCTTAAAATATAAATTCATGAAGAAATCATACTTCCGATGTCAATAAAATCGAAGCTTCATGATTTACTATTAGCTAATGATATTTCGAATAAAAGACACAATAGTAATGTCAATACTTTAATATAGTGTTTCTATTAACTAAATATTATCACTACTTGAACAAAATACTTTCAAAATTTTATATTTTTCGAATTCTGAAACTATAAAGAACCTTGTAGCATAATGTTCGCAAGATTAAGAAATAAATGTATAAATATTTAATATTATGTATAAAGTATTTTCCCAAAAACTAATTAGGTTTTTGAAGTTTTTTTTACTTCTCAATTATATAAATATTATTTGCAGTTGTCTGTATTTCATTATGTAATCAGGTTCGTGCAGCGAATTGATTTTTTAACGAGAACTTCATTTTTCAAGTGAAAATTAAATAAAATAAATCTAAATGCAATTTAGCTTACCGAAAATTAGCTTCGAATTCAAATATTCCAGCATATCAGAATCAATCTTTCAAAACTTGTTAATCTAAAATGAATGAATTATTTACAATCACTGTAAATATTAATACTTGAAAACAAATTTAAAAATACATTTAAAAATAAAAAGAGAAGTCAAATTTGGCGATAAAGATAAGGAACAATACTTCCTCGTTTCCAAATAATTTGAAAAACAGATTTTAAATTTTTATCTTTATTCTTGTGAAATACATTTATTGAAACAAACTGTTTGATTAAGAAAGCCATCAACTCGAAAACACAAGAAAACTGTAACTGAGAATGAGATATGAGGAAGGGGAACAAAAACAAATCTATTTTTAAATGCAAAGAAAATTCTATTGATCTCTAATGAGAGATTTATTTTATGTATCTCGACATTATTTCTTGCAACATTATTTATTTACTATCTTTGAATTCAATTGACGCAATCAAAATTTGCACTTCAAATTATTTTTAAAAAGAGAATTGACTCAGTTATCTTATGCGGAAATATACGATTTTTTTTCCAATTTTGTTTTTCGTAAAATGATTATTACTCACATTTTTAACAAATTATTAGAAAACTAATTCCCATTTTAAAATACTTTAAAGAACACAATTTAATAATTGAGAGTCCTTGAATATTACAATTTTTGAATTATTGATTCTTAACTAATAAATATGAGAGGTAGCCACTATCTAGAAAATAGGATCTTAACCAGCTGTCGGAAGAACTATATTATTTTTGTAGTTTGCTAACAACTGCTATTATTTTATTACAAATGCACCCCAGTAGTACATTAGGTAACATCAGTTAAGTAGAAAATTTAAAGTTATGCTGTATAACTTTAGAATATTAGAGAGACTAAACATTTTATATCTTTCTATATCTTTTATATCTTTCTATTTATTAAATTTTATTTATTTTTGTAGTTTGCTACAATTATTACTATTTTATTACAAATGTTTCCAAGTGTGTCTTTATGTATATGTCTTTTCTTTTTACGTTGCTGGTGTTATAATATCTAAAAATTTGACCTTTTATTTTAGAAATCATTTGGAGAAATAGGCTGTGGTTTTTTTCATAACTGTTTTTTATATTTTTGCCATACATGATTTATATAAGTTGTAACTATAGTTTCATAATTTCTATCAGAAACCACCAAAATTTCTTTCAGGATTAAAAAGTAGATTAATCAATCAAGTAAATCAAAGCCAAGGGGGAAAAGTAGTTTATGTCCATTTTTCACAAAAATGACAATAGGATGACAATCTGTCTCGTCTCAAGGATTACAGAGTGTTAACAAATCAATAATGTGAGAAATTGGTATTAGCTTTGAGTTATTATACAGAGAAGGTGGGCCGTATTGTGGAAAAACTTTTATTTTTCGCCTGCAAAATCCTTTTTTCTCCAAATCAACTCTTACGGGCTATAAACCGTTTTTCTACTGAGTTTTTCAAGTATAAAAAGAAAGTATAAAATTACTGAAATGAAATTTTCCAAAGTTCTGAGAAATGCATTGTATGTTTAAAATAAACAAATAAGAAATTAAAAGGAGGATGAAAGAAAGGGTGAAAATGATTTTCAGCAAAATACAATTAAAAGTGAAAATGTTATTACTACACATTAGTTTGTAAAAATTCTAGACAAGTGCAGATGGGTGACATATTACTACGAACACTTTTGTATTAACTTTATAAAAGTAATCTTTCTTTGAGCAGCAAACGTTTTTGAAAACAATTGGTATAATTTAAAAGATTGTGATTCAAGCTTTCAGAAGTGGTGTCGTTTTTACCCATGCAACATTCGGATAGACTAAAATGAAGAGATGGAAGTTAATAACTTCTTTCTAGTTTTAATACCAGAAATTTTCATATCATTCTATGGGGATGTGGTACTTACATAAGAATGCTTTTGGAATTATCGTGCTAAAAAAAGGAAAGGAGTTTTAAACTTCCTATGCTCATTTTGATCCCAAAAGTTGAATCATGATCTTTCAAATTGTACCAACAATTTCCGCAAACGTAAAATTACGTAATTGGATTACATAATGTTTCACACGGAAAGAAGGTCAAAATTTTTCCGTTGCACTCATTGTCTGAATTTTTGGATAATAGTCCCAATCGTTCGGGGAGCTATGAGAGACACAGACAGTCACACAAACTTTCGTTTATTAGTACAGCATATATAATGAATTTTGCAGCAAATATATTTTTGTCACAAAAATTTATTATATTAAGATTTACTTATATAAAGAATAATACCTTTAGTTCTTTTAGCATAACTATGAACGAAAAAAATCTCTTATTACGTAACGAATTAAAAAAATTTTTTTTCTTCTCATTATACGGCGTAACGCAAGTTCTCATTTTTCTCAGAATACACTAAGTTCTGACCACACTTCTTCACAAACGGTTTCCAATTCTTACTGAAAAGGAAGAGCTTATTGCTACATGGATAGCGATGGGCTCCAATTGCTTCTGGGCATTCTAACCATTCAGGAATCTCACCAGTTTCTTTAATGATGCAATCCAAATCATCCTCATCACAATCTGCTTCAGGTGGCCCAGTTGGCTTTGGAGTTGGAGTGGATGGCTGTGTAGTGGTAGGCTGGTCGGTCATTGTCGGTGGTTGGTCGGTGGTGGTTGGTCATTTGTCAATGAATCAAAGAAAAATAATTATTTAAGAAAATATGTAACAAACTCCCAAAATAACTTGTTTTTAAATAAATAAAGTCATCTTTTACATAATTGGAAAGTCATCTTACATCTTATGTCATCTTTTACATAATTGGAAAGATTCCCCCTTGCACCCATTATCCAAATTTTAGGATTCTAGTATGAACTGTTCAGGAGAGCTATGAGTGAAACACAAAGATAGTCGCACAAACTTTCATTTATTAGTACAGCATAGATATTGAATTCTGCAGCAAATAATTTCGTAATAAACATTTATTATATTAAGATTTATTTAAAGAGCAGTATCTTTGATTCCTCTTACATAACTATGAACCAAAAAACCAAGTATTACGTTGAAATTAAAATAAAATAAAAATTTTCTTCTTCTTCATCTTATGCAAGTTCTCATTAACGCAAGTTCTCATTTGTTCAGAATACACTAACATCTGCCCACACTTCTTCACAAATGGCTTCCAATTCTTACAGAAAATGAAGAGTCTATTGCTACTTGGATGGCGATAGGCTCCAATTGCTTCTGGGCATTTAAACCATACAGTAATATCTCCAGTTTCTTTAATGATGCATTCCAAATCATCCTCATCACAATCTGTTTCAGGTGGCTCAGTTGGTTTTGGAGTTGGAGTGGATGGCTGTGGAGTTGTAGGTGGGATGGTGGTAGGCTGTGAAGTGGTAGGTGGGGTGGTTGTTGGCTGTGGAGTTGTAGGTGGAGTGGTTGTTGGCTGTGGAGTTGTAGGTGGGGTGGTGGTAGGCTGTGTAGTGGTGGGTGGAGTGGTTGTTGGTTGTGGAGTTGTAGGTGGAGTGGTGGTAGGTTGTGAAGTGGTAGGTGGGGTGGTGGTTGGTTGTGTAGTGGTCGGCGGGGTGGTGGTTGGCTGTGTAGTGGTGGGCGGGGTAGTGGTTGGCTGTGTAGTGGTAGTTGGGGTGGTGGTTGGTTGTGTAGTGGTGGGCGGGGTGGTAGTTGGCTGTGTAGTGGTGGGCGGGGTGGTGGTTGGCTGTGGAGTGGTTGGTGGGGTGCAGGTAGTTGTAGTAGGTTCTGGTGTTGTTGGTATAGGAGTAGTACCGACTGTAGTTTCACCTAAATTTATAAAAAAATTATAGTTTCATTTTTTATAAGATGTTATACAGTTTTGATACATTATGAAGGAAATCACCTTCACCTGCCATATATGGAATTTCATGACCTACTTTACTTTCTATCATCTATAAACATACATACTATGATTTATCGCAGCTGTTATAATTTCCTACATTAAATACGATGAACCATGGCTAACTAAGGCGATACAAAAATCATTAGTACTAAATAAAATGAAATTTATAATTTGTATTATTTCTTTTTTTCTTTTCATGTTGTGAAACTTTTTAACGTTCAATAAAAATAATAATAGAAAAATGCATAGGTTTATAGACTTAGCGGTATTAGTTCATTTGAAAATTGCATGATTACCCCCCAAAAAATGGAATGAATTTGCCATTTTCATTTACAGACAATTTAAATTTTAGTATTAAGTACTTTCTTTTTGAGTTGCAACATGCTGCATATGTGGGGAGCAACGCTGGTTCAGTGGTTAAGACACTGGTCTATCAATGCGAAGAACTACGATTCTGTTTCAGGAGTCAACTTAAAACTCACCCATATTCAGATTGTAGAGAACCAGTTCTTTTGGTAAGTAAATCTGATCAAACGACCACGACGCAAAACCGTGGTGCCTTTATCTCTATGACCTCTATTGCAATGATTGCTTTTTACAAACCCAAGTCATATAATTTATATTAAAAATGTTGATAAGTAGCGTTTATAGTGGAAAATTTCTTTTTGTAAGGATGGGAGTGGTTGAAAGAGGATTATCTAAGATTTTCAAACACTATGTATTGGCAATCAAAATGGGTTACACATGGCTTAGAGCAGAATACTCTACCTATGGCAACACATCTCATGCTTACACCATAAGCGTGTGGAGAGTCATAGGAGAAGGAAATACGTTTGTTTGCGTCTTGTGATTTTCAAACAGATTAAAAACCTTTAAATTAGGAAACTGCATTGAACATAGTTCTAACAGAAACGTTGTGGAAATTTTAAAAGATATATATGACAGCTGAATACGAAAAGTATTTAGAATGGGGAAAATATCGCAGTGCATTTTTATACTACTGAGAAAAGGAAGACAGGGAAGGGTCAAGACATGGAACCGGTCTTCTCCCTACATGTCGTACATATTTGGGGCATTTAGGATCTCTGAAGCCCCAAATAATTACCTGACAACAGACGCAACAAATATCTTGAATAATGGTTGTGACTCTAGTGATGCCCAATAATATGTAATTTAAAAAATATGTTTTTTTCTGATAAAAATTAGCGATGGTATAAAATTTGAAGAAAAAATGCAAAGTGTTTCATTTTTAGAAATAATATTCGAAAAAGAAATATATTTATACTTCATTGTATAATAAAAGCGTAATCGCTTGATCACTAAATATTTTAAATTATCCTTCGCTATTTAGCAGGGGTACCTTGAGAGGGTGAATACTTAAGGAATCCAGTAAAATTATATAGCTAAGGCTCCTCAAAGTCTTGCGACCTGGAATTAAAATAAATATTGTAAATATTTGTATGATCACAAGGAAAGAAACTCTTTCACTACTTGTTGGTCTTTTCCTTGATCCACAGTTCACATATCTCTCACTTCTGCAATGTCCCTTGACTCCGTCAAAGAGAAAATTCTTTGGACACGTTTTCAAACTTGGAGAAAAGGAGATGCAGTGGTAGTATTTGGAACAGTCACTTGGATGAGGAAAATATCCCAAGAATTTTGGACACGTGAATGAATCATCTGTAACATACAATAAACACACTATTTATCTTAAAAGTATATTTTTATATAAGATGTGCAGGGCATTTATGTAAAAAAACTATTTGCTCAAGTTTTGTTTATAAATGTGCTTATAGAAATTTTCCTTGAAACTACACTCTATTGCAAAAAAAAAATCGACGCACCAAGAAGCAACCATCCGATTGCTTTGAAATTTCGTATGCATGAATGTTTTTGCTCGATCAGGCTTTAATGATGCCGACTTAGGACGTATAGTCTTTAGCGACGAATCCCGCTTCCAACTGTGTCCTGACGATCATCTAAAGGCTTGGTTTCTTAGGACAGGACGCCGTCAGCTGGAAATCAGCGTTAACCTCTGATTGGTCCATTTGTGAGTTTGATAGTATACGTCATCGAACGCTCATCTTGAACTACAATTGCCGTCCAACTCAACTGCAGTTGGATTACAACGTGACGTTAACCACAGAAGCAATGGCGGACAACATCCAACAGC